CGGGCAGGCGTGCGGGTGTGCACACGCGTGTCTGGGTCAGCTCGCGTGTCCGTGTGCCCGTGCCCGGGTGTCTTGGTGGGCACACGGGTTTGCGTGCAGATGCATGTCTGTATGTGCGTGCACGTGGGCATGTCTGTGTCCATAGGTGCATGCTTGTGTCCATGTCTGGGTGTGCATGCGTGTCTGGGTGCATACGTGTGCCCATGCCTCTGTGTGTGCATGCATGGCTGTCTGGGTCAGCTCGCGTGTCCGTGTGCCCGTGCCCGGGTGTCTTGGTGGGCACACGGGTTTGCGTGCAGATGCATGTCTGTATGTGCGTGCACGTGGGCATGTCTGTGTCCATAGGTGCATGCTTGTGTCCATGTCTGGGTGTGCATGCGTGTCTGGGTGCATACGTGTGCCCATGCCTCTGTGTGTGCATGCATGGCCATGTCTGGGTGTCTGCATGGCCATGTGGCAGCAGGGCTGCATGGGGCTCTGGGAACAGTGGGAGTTTTCCTTCCCCAGCCCGGACATGCTACCGGGAGACAGGGCGCCGGGGTTTCCCAGCTCCACCAACTTGTGCAATGGGAAAAGTGTAAAGAAATGGGATTGCAGCTCTACAAAATTCCCCCAGTCCTGTTGCCAGCCCCCGTCTGACCCCAGCTCCCCTGGCGCCAGCATCCCTGGTGCCCTGCAGGAGCAGCATTGCTGCGCTCAGCTGCTGCCTGCTGGGGCATTAATCTGCCCCCAGCTCTGAGCTGCATTACGTTCCTGACCCATTTTCCCCATAAGAGGATGAGCAGTTATACATAGCACTTCCCTCTCTGTCTTGGGGGGCGGAGGGGGCTGCATTAGCTTCTAAAGCGGGTCAATTAGCCTAACGAGATCGTCGGCAAAGACCCTGATCCCGGCACACACCGGCTCTGTGGCTGCTTCAGGGTGTCCAGGCAGACTGGATCCGTTTCCTGGCAGGAGGTGGCATGGGGGCCGCAGGGGCTGGCGGCAGAGGCCGGAGGTGGCCTGGCCATGCCGGCGCGGAGTCCTGCAGTGATGCAGCCGGGTCCGGGCACCGCTGAGTGCCTGCCCTGACTCAGCCCAGCCGGGACATCGAGGGGTGCAGAGTGCTCCAGCTCCGCAGCCGGGCCCCAACCCACGCTCGGAGGCTGAGGGCAGGTCGCAGCCGAGCGCAAGGCAGCTCCCAGGCCGGCGGCAGCAACATCTGCCCAGCAGCCCCGGGCGAGGGGACCATGACCCCCGTTAGCCTCCGTCCCCTGCGAGCGCCCAGCGCTGCTCCCCTGCTTTGCTCCCACGGTGAAGCCAGAGGAATTGCCGCCGCGGAAAAAAGGCCGTCGGTGCCTGACCGAAATGGGAGACGCTCCCCAGTGACGCTCCCCCAGGCGAGGTCACCGAAGTCAGACAGAGAAACTCAGGCGTTGGTATCTTCCCCGTCAAACAGCCCTACCGAAAGGATGTTGCAATAAAAAAGGGGAAGATGCTGTTCTCATCCTTGGCTAACGGCTCAGGAAAACAGAAGGTTATAACTACCTTCAGTCACCGCAGTTCTCTAATGGGTAACTGCTGAATTGTGAATTCATACCCAAGCCAAACAGACCAGAGACTTTTAAAATAACTGCATCCTTTAATGGCAGTAATACAATTATAGAAGATTAAAGCGCTCACAGGAGAAATATAGATGACATTTTTGGAAGACAAATGTGTGATACAAAAAACAAGAGAGGGAAAGGAAAAAACACAAAGCCATGCAACAGAACAGTCATTGTAAAAATACCAATACAGTATATACATATTTGCATCAACAACTTCAACTCTGAAATAGTATTTACAGTTTATTACAATCTCAGTTAGAGCATTATTCTTTTTTTTTTTTTTAAAGCTCTGGCAGATGGAAAAATATTAATGGATTAAAGACTGGTGATTTTAATTCATGGTGGTTACAGTGGAGTGCTGTCACTTATTCCTACAGGGTTCAATAGTTTTTTCTAAAAAAAATATTTTACAAAAAGTTCAGGCTATTGTACAAATGCCACTGAATTTACAACTCCTCAATAAAAGCAATCTCACATGGCAGAAAATGTCACAGGTGCTTTATTTCTCTCCTCCCCTTTTTTTGTTACATTTATACCAACCAAACTCCAAAGCAATGAATTCATGTCACACCACTGCCAAAAAGCTGAGACTGTACCAAGAGAAAGCATGAAGTGAACTTCAACGGCACACGAGCTACACAATCAGCTGCCACATCGGGTGCTTAAAACCAGCAAAGCGCGTCTGGGAGAGACAGCTGAAATTTCTAAGGACAAAATCTCTGACGGACATGGGCAGATCGAGGAGAGCGGCCCAGGCCAGCAGCACTGGCGCTCGCTGGGCCCCAGCAGGGCTGAGACGCTGGTTTTAAACGAGTTTGATACAAACTTCTGCTTCCAATTAAAGCAGGGTGCAGCAAGATGTACAATGAATAGTGCCAGAAGGAAATAGGACAATTTAATTAACACTGCTTGCACGGCAAGGTAAATGTAATGGAACTTCAGAGTCTGGACGTCCAGATTTGAACACCTAATTTTGGCATTATCGATGCTATGATTACGTTCACCAAAACCAAGCAACACCAATTATCTTAAGACCTTCTCCAAACAAAGCGTAACGCTTACAGCAACACTGACTCCGTCTTTATCACAAAAGTTATTCCACAGCTGGACAATTCATCCTAAAGCAGATTATTTAACGGTAGACGGCAAACTGAGAAAGCTCCCCCTGCTTTTATATTATTCGGGACACAGGACACCGGCCCAAGGACAGGCCGCTGCGACGCACCAGGTGACCTCTCCGGCTGGAGAAAGACGAGCGAGCGAGCAACACCGCCAGCGAAAGCAGGAGCGCAAGGGAAGAGGCAAATCCAGAGAGAAAGGGCCAGACGTGGCCCCGGCGGCGTGCGAGCGGTGCCGGCGTACGCAGCCAGGCACCGAGGGAAACGCCGGTCTCGTCCCGTGTCGCCTCGTCGGTACCACCCGGCTTTGGCTTTACCTCGAGGGAACTGATGGGCGCACAGCGGACTGGGAAATGCTTGGAAAAACGGAGCTCAGTTTTTGTCAAACCTAGATTTTAGTCCATTAATTTCACAGAAGCTGACGATATCGCATGCTGGCTGCGTGTACTGCAAGGGCTTGTTCTTTTTAATTAATAACTACGAGGGTGCAAAGTATTTCAACTCCCTCTGGTGTAGTTTGTGCCTTAAAGACTGCGTAAAACATCTTCACATTCAAATACTAGAGAACATGTTTCCCACAGGCTCAGCAGCCCAATACTTATGAGCGGGGTGCCAAGTGTTCACACGTGGTTACAGGCAGAAATCAGGAGAAAGCTTGGATCTGGACTTCGATAACTTTTTGAGGATAGGAAGGGAATGAGAGAAGTGCTATTTTATCATCCAAAAGAAGAGGATGTTTTGCCTTTTCTGGTACTTCTGCACACCCACACTTTTCAAGGAGCTGGAACCCTGAAGACCACAGTTTCGGTCTGTAAGAAGACGCAGCTTCTCCAAACTCCAGCAAAGCACATTAAGATATGCAGAAAAACACCGGGGATGGCCCCCTCCTGCCTGCCAAAGGGGATTTATTAAGCTTTAACAACTTTTTACCCCAAATGCTATGATGACTTGGCAATGACCCCGCTGCCACAGAAAGAACCTGTCCCCAGATCTTCCTTCTTTCAAATAACATTTCTACAATTGTGGATTCTCTAACACCCAGTTCCCATTTTGAAAATCTCAACCATCTATCTGCTAGTGCTACTTCACTTTTAGGTGTTTCTTTCCTGAAAACACTGCAAACGCAGTTTATCTTCCATGTGCAAGTGTTTGCTTATGCAGAGAATGAATCACAAGGGACATTCAGAACCTAACACTGATTCTCTATCCAAGAACAGAGTTAATCTCCCTTTCTGATCTGGTTGTGCAGGACCCGCACGAATGTCTTGCGTGCAATGTTTGCCCACTGAACTTCGGCAAAGACAGGAAGAGCAACGTTCTCTCCGGGGAAATGCACTGAAAGCCCAACTGCGTTTGTGGAAAAGCCCTCCATATGCAAAATACATACAAGTGAAATCTGATTGAGATTAATAATTTAATTTCAATAATACAAACTTTTTTTTGGTAGACTGCATAACTTTTTGGGATGTAAATATTCCATGACCATCCGTGGAAGCTCTTGGGAATTTAAGCCCTATTCTGGGCTCAGCTGAGTTGTCATGTAACCATACAACCTCCAGGAAATGGCATAAAAATATTTACTCAAAATAAAAAAGCAAAACAAAAACACCCCCTCCCCACAATTACAAAAGCAATCTCACATGGTTCTTTTTCCATGGTAATTCTGTTCACCACAGTAGAATTTTAAAAAAGACTATGATACAAATACTTTAGTTCGTTCTGTTTTAGAAATTAACACATCTTCTACTGATCTGAATGGCTCACAGCTTTAATCTTTTAAAGCAACAAATACGAACCACATTTCTCTGCCATCCAGTCTGTCGTTACCCTTCTCCTGAGTATATCGTATAGCAATTCTGGAGGGGGAGAAGTCAGGTTTTAACACAACCTACTGTACAAAAAGAGGACAAGGTGGCTGGTGTGACAGGACAGCTACAACTTCCCAAGGAGATTTCAGGTATTTCATTATTTTCCCAGGATGATTTCAATCACTTTTCAAAAGAAAGCTCTAAAACAAACTATTGGGTCTGAAACAAAATGCTGGTTATTACTGCACAGGGAGACTTTGATTTTTCTTTTAAAATGCATCTTGGAAACTCTCTATATAGTTACAGCACTGACCAGAACCAGAAAGATTTATATACATGTTATATGGCTAAAGTGAGCGCTAATGCAATTAAAAAAAAAAAAATTACCAACACTGTGCGCTGCTATTCAATGCATGGACGCAAGGTCAGTTCTTTAATACTACTGGCAGAATGGCGAGGCCGTCGGGTCAAAGCCCTTAAAGACATCTTTCAGAGAGCCGGCATCTTGCTGCTCAGTGTCCTGAGCAGGGCTGTTCCCTGCGAAGGGACTGCCTGACCCAGACTTCGCAGTCTGCTTAACCATGCCATAGACAGAGGGCACAGGGAGGTTGTGTACCCCTGGCTGGGGGGCAGTCTCCTGGGCAGGGGCAGAGGAGGAAGCGGCAGCGGCTTTGGGACGAGGCCTGTTATAGCTATTGTATCTGTCTGTGGCAGATTCAGCGCTCGCCTTCTCAGACTCGGGCTGATCCAGTGCAGACCGCCGCACAAAGAGAGGTTCCTTGGCCTTGCTGGCACTTTTGCTGGAGTCTGAGCCTTTTGAGGACGTGCTGCCTTCGCTGGGAGACTCTGCGGCCTTGCTGCCCGAGCTTGGAGTCCGGGGGTCGTACAAGCTGATGGCACTAAGCACACTGCTTTGGCTGCTGCCTTTGCTCAGCCCACCAGCTGTCAGCAGCCTGGGGTCGTAGGGAGCAATGGCTGGAGCAGCCTCACCACTGCCAGCAGAGGCAGCCGCAGGCTGAGCCGACTCGGCAGGTTTTGGGGCTCTAGAGGCCCCTGTTTCTGAAGACTTCTGTAACCTGGGGTCAGCCGGTGCTTTCCGCATCCGAGGGTCGCTCGGCTTTTCACTCGGGCTGGAAGATGGGCTGCCAGCTGCATTCACAGTTTTTAATATTCTTGACAACAGCTCAAAGTCGGGGAGACTGCTGCCAGAACCAGAGCCAGACTCCCCCTGTGTGGCTCCCCCCCTCTGCCTGGGATCTGAAAGACCAGTCGTTTGGGGCCTGTTAAGACGTGGATCAAGGGCGGGCATGGACTGGAGAGCAGCTGGGACAGGAACAAATTCTTGCTTTGGGATTGGCAGTGGAATCAGATCCTCTGGGCTCCACAGGACCATTCGGGCAAAGTTCGGCTTGTTTAGGACTACGTCTTTCTTTATGTGGCTGAACTGCTGCAACTGGGACCGGGGATCCCTTAGAGCATGGCCTGGCAGTGCATCTAAGGGGATATTGACTGGTTTGTCCCTTAGTGCCCTTTCCCCTTCCTCCTCATCAGGCACCAAGGCAGCCTTTTGACCGCCAGCAGCACTGGAATGAGGAACTTCTGGCTTTGGGGTGGAGGAGGGAATGTGTCGTGCAAGCCTTGGGTCAGTGGGTCCTGAATCCCCAGGGATGGATGGGCCAGGAACATCTGCATTTCGTGAAAGCCTGGGATCCCGCAGACGAGGGTCAGCAGGACGACCACCCCCTCCTGCCTGGACCTTCTGCAGGCGAGGGTCACTCACACCTGAGGACGGCCCAATTTCTCCATGGGAGGGTTGGGCATGAGGTCTGCTGGAGCTTTGCTGCCTTAGGGTTTTCAATATGGAGGTGACACTACTTCCACCGTCATCTTCATCGCTGGAATACCAGTTACTGGTGTCACCTGGGAGGAGGGAGAAGAGAAAGCAGCTCATAAGAAATATGCAAGTAAAGCACCTCCCGGTGCAATCCACTATGCCTATGAGAAGCACCCAAAAAGTATCCCGTGTCCCTCACAGTACTCCTGACTCATGCTGCTGAAATTCCAGATTGTCCCTGTGTTTCCAACCCCATGTGTAATAGCCTCAGCCTCCCTGGTCTAGTTTTCACACCCAAAATTAACAGAGGGCTGTAAGCATCCCTCTCTCCCTGTTTCCCATCTTTGAAACAGACTCAAATTTTACCACAATTAAGCCAGTACACCTATCTCATGGACCTTCTGGCCAACTGTTCCCATTTCTTCAGCAGACCTGCTCCTCTTCATTCGTACTAGCTACGTGTTCTTTTGAGTCTGGGGATTTTTTTTAGAAGAATTCAGTGCCTTTTGTTCCCTAAACAGTTTTTCTGACTCCCAGACAGATGCTTCTCTCTACACCCCTCTCAGTTGGCCCCTTCTTTTGCTGAGATCACAATCTCTACACTGTGTATACAGTTTAAGTTCTGTCACTTGTAAAAGCACCAAAGCCAGCACTGGCCTGAGCCATAGAGACTGCTTCAAATGCTGCTGATGGGTCCTGAGAGGCAAAAGCCTTAGGGCAGGTGGGGAGCGAGCTGAAGAAACTCTCAGGCTGGGTAGCAGTTGAAGCAGACCCAAGATATCTTCCCCATGTATACTACTTTGAATAAAAGATATCGTGTTTGGATGCTTGCCTTCCTCATTTTCTCGTTCCTGCTTATTGCTCTCAGCTAGTCTCCGAGCCCTCTCTTCTTCCTCCTGCTGTTTCTGCTGGATTCTCAAGTAAAGCGCTCTTTGTGCAGATGGCATGAAGTCAGGGATGTTGCCTGGTGGTTTCCGTAACCCAGACGGCCCTCCTTCACACAAGGCATCATGATCCAAGGATGGGTCAGGGAACATATGCTCTCCTGGAGGCCCTTCCATATCCTCATAACCACCATAATCTTCTGCCATGGAAAGATCATCGTACGTTAAAAGCCCATCTCGTACAGCTGTGAAAAACAACCAAACTTCATAACTGCAACAGAGAAAGACTTCAAAATGAAACTAGTCTATCACAGACAGTCACTGTTTAGTGCAAAACCAGTCCCTGCAATCAGCCACCATATGCCACATGCCCCAAGCCACCAGCATGGAATAGCATATCATTCCATTCCCCTTTCAGCCCTTCTGGACCTGCTGCTGTACCCGGGCATTCAGAAAGCAAACCAAGTTCAAACAGCCTGTCCCCAACACGGCACATCTAGCGTGGCACACGAGAGCAGTTTGAGACAGATCCTCAGTAATTACCTGGGTCTCCCATCATGCCATGGTCCATATCCAGGCCTTCTTGCGGTGGGTAGAAATTATCGTAAAAGCCTTGTGCAGGTGGGACAGGTGGCATCATTCCAGAGTGCGGGGAATCATCTGGACCATAGGGCATCATTGGGGGCCCAGGACCCATTGGAGGCCCAGGATTCATCCCAGGGCCCATTGGCATGTCTGGGTGCATGTCAGGATGCATATCTGGGTGCATGTCGGGGTGCATATCTGGGTGCATGTCAGGGTGCATGTCGGGGTGCATGGGTCCAGGCATGGGCCCTGGGGGTCCTCCTGGCCCAGGGAACCTGGGAGGAGGTGGACCTGGATGCCTAAAAGAGAACAGAGAGAAGTGCAACTTTGACGTGCATGCTGTTTCTGGAGGAATGGATTCTGTACTCCTAGGGCTCAGAACAGCAGCACCTGCACTGGACCCAACATGGAAAGAAACCTCCTTTCCACCCACTGGCTGTGGTCTTCAGTTCTCAAATTCACAGGCAATTCCTTAATGTTCCTTAATGTTTCAGGACAGCCAGATTCCGCACCATCCTTCTAAACACTAGCACAAAACAGCTGCAACATGCCCAGCTCCTGCAGTGCCCACCTTCACTGGTGGCATCAGGATGCTGCAGCAGAGCTCCTCCTGCACCAGGAAACGGGATGACCTCGAACGGAGACTGAGTCAGCCCGTTCCAGGTTGTAGTTCAAGAAAGACAAGGGGGAAATTCAGGCTATTCTGACCACAACAAATCTCCAGTAAGGGGTCAGTTGGCAGGGAACAGAACTTTGCGTTCCCAGGCTCTTTGTCCACACCTTATTATGAAGTGCTGCTTGGGATCTGTGCTACTATTCCAACAGCTCTCAACAAGGGCCATCAATATATTACTGATATTAAAATACAAATTAAACCATGGCTTAGGATAGCTTGCTCCTCTCAGAGAGAAACAGCGATGAACAGCTTACGTCTCCAGAATGTCTCTGTCATTCTCAGAGAGAAAAGGGAATGACAAATGACTATCTGCTACGAAGGAAAGCAAAATGAAACCCCACACAAACACCTACATCCCTGTCTCTCTCCCAGTTGTCCAACATTATTCTGCCAGGCACCTGCAACTGGCCTGACTGGATCGTGACACTTACCTCACACCCAGCTTCTCTGCCAGCTGCCCAGTAGGTCGTACTACGATCTCAAACAGAGAGGGGATCTTCTTGTACATGTCCTGCTGCTGCTGCAGTTGCTGTGGTGAGAGAGGTTCATGCATTGGCGGTGGCATCTGCGGCCCTGGTGGTGGAAGTGGTGGTGGCGGAGGAGGCGGTGGGCCTCCAGGGATAGGCCTGCCATTTGGAGAAGTTGGAGCTGGTGGTCCAGGAGGGCGAGGGGGTGTGGGCAGCAAGCCCACCCCAGGTGGGGGTTTGGGGAGTGGATTAATGCCCTGCTTCTTTAGCTCTTCAACTTCTTTCTCATCTTCTGCACCTGCTTCTGCATCATCTGCCAGCATCTGAGAAGATAAGGGAGTGAGAGCAGATCCACAAAGCTGCCCGCAGAACAACACACTCCAGAAAACACAGCACAGGACCCCCTCTCTATGACCAAGACAGAGCTGCTTGGCTGAGCACAGCAAGCCTTCATACAGCAAGCCTTTTGCACACTCTCTGTTCGCAGGATCTAGACAACTGCTTCCATACCAGAAATATAAGAAAAGCTGCCAAGACATTTTTATCAGGTTGTGGGTAGGGCAATTCTCTGCAAGTCCAGGACTGTTTTCACTGTATATTTTACCTAGTCCTTGAATTAAGGATTTCAAATGGAAAGGATTCCATTATGCAGCATCTGAAAGGCACTCTCAGTAGAAAGTCGGCCTTTTCAGCGTTTAACTGCAGTTATCACTGCGTGTTATACTCTCTTCCCCTCCACTGGCGACTCTTGAACGGGCAGCAAGGACAGTCAAGACGAGAGAGCCAATGAACCTGCATTAACGCTTTCCTGTACCTTGTCCAGAAGCTCCCGTGTTTCATCTGTGAGCGGCTCATGGGAAAACATGCAGTCATCCCCATTGATACAGTTGCCAGTGGTGTGGAACAGCTTACAAGGAAAGTCACGTATCAGGCGTTAAGGAGACCAACAGGCAATTACCCCAAGTTCCTTCAATGGCCAGAGAGGCTTTTTTTTCAACTATACATTGTTAACTTTGAAATGTAACTCAACATGTAGGATTTATATGGTCACAATACCAAAATTAAACAATCATCACCAAAGATATTTCATTTTCCTCAGCAAGAACTCCTGTGTACGTATTTGCTCTTTGCAGTTCTGCAGTTATTCCGACCACTCCACGCTGCAGGCATAGTATGACATGTTTTTCTGTATCTGCAACAGCTACAAACCTCATATCTTAAACAGGAAAGCTGAGACTAAAAAGGAACTGAGAGGGCCTTCTGCAGCCCTGGTTGCAGCTTTAGGCACCCCCAGCCTGTAAGGAGAGGAATGAATGCTATACAGGTGTTTAGATTGAAGGCAGTTTGCTGCAGGAACACACTTTTTTTTTGGCTGTTTTTTCTCCTCTGACTCACTATATGCATCTATTAAAACATAGAGTAAACGAGACAGATTTAAAGCTGGCACAATGAAATGACAAAAAAGGATATCATGCATGTAAGGGCAGTTTTCAGCCCTGGCACAGTAGCCAGTGATGTAGAACTTGCACAGTTCCCGTTTCTTTGGTAGTTCAATGTCATGACTGAAATTGCAGTGCTCACCCTGCTCGGAAATAACAAAACACTGTGTTAGCATGGCCCAGCAAAGCACATACAATGAACTAAAGGGGGGCAGGCATTTTTATAAAATACTCTTTGTAGATATGAACTCCTCCCTGAAATCATTTAAACCTGGACCACATAAGGCTGTGACTGTCCATTCAATGGAAACAGGAAGAAAGCAAATGACTTTCGAACTCCCACGTACACGTGCAGGTTTCCTTGCACTCGTTGCATCTCTCCTCCCACCCACATGGTGTCCACCTCTCACACACACCTACTGCACTTTAGGACAAGGACAGTCCTGCATCTGTATAGAAATAGTTACATAAATATGTAACCGGAAAGCTGAGATTAATTTTAATTATTCCCTTACCCAGGTACACCTGCCTTCCACAAAGTATTTGCAGATCACTTTCCCTTTCTTATCCGACTGCTGGTGAGGTTTATCATGGTCATTCCGCCTGTAATTTCCGCCACCTCCTCCATCCTATTGGAATCACAATATATTAGTTGACAAAGAATTTAAAATACACAGAAGCAGATCTAACAGCTTCGGAAAGAAGTAAGTATTTCCTGTGCATCCGTTTCTGAGAGGGAGCACACTGAGGGCTTGTATGAAAAAGTGAGACAAAGGCTAATGTTCTCAGCCCAGCAGGCTCTGGAACACAACTAGATGAATGGCTTCCCGGTCAGCTGACCAGAATCCAAAATATTCATCCTGTTCAGATGGGACAACTGTCATGTATCCCGAGGAAGATGTGGGTTTTTTTTTTCCTATGAAGGCGTCTAAGAAAGCTTGACTGGAGTTACAGAGCGGAACAGGGGAAAGGGACCCATGTAGCACTACAGCAAACCACTAGAAAAAAAGAGCGAGCTGCTTACTCCCATGTCCTCCTCGTAGTAATCGTCATCCTCATTCATTCCACCACCTTTCCCCATTCCACTTCTGTTTCCACCTCTTCCTCGTCCTCTGCCCATTCCTTTGTTTCCTCTTCCTCTGGGACCACGACCACGCCCTCGATTTATACCTGAAATATACATCAACATTTGTAATTTTGCTCCTTATGTAAAACATGAGCTGTGAGAGAACACAAAGCAGGGACCTGTGTTGGCTGTCCAGCACAGCTCATTATCCTGCTCACCTCGCCCTCGACTCTCCTTACTCCTGCGGTACTGGTTCAGCTCTTTTGAGTAGTCGTCATACTCATCATCACCCATGGGCTCCTCATTGTCGCAGTACTGCAATCCAGAAGGATCAGTGGACTTAGTGAGTAGGATGAAGCACAGCCCGTTCCCCCTCAAATACAAACTTCCCAACCATGAAAGAGAATATTCTCTTGCCTCCACCTTAATGTTTTTCCGAGAGCAGGATGGAGAGACAACAGCAGTTCAGTAACTGCACTTACTTCCATCTCTTCATCATACATTTCCTCCTCTTCTTCTGGATGGTCGTTTCTGCCTCTCCCACGGCCCCCTCGGCCCATGCCTCGACCTCCTCTCATTCCACCTCTGCCACCTCGCCCTCGGTACCCTCGCCCTCGGCCACGTCCACCTGGAAAGGATAAGGATCAGGTCAGCTTTGTGCTGTTGGGCTGCAGTGTACGTTAACCAGAGTGATCACAATGAGCTCTCTTAGAGCAGGTACCATATCTCAGTATAAGGCCCTAATTTCTCCTATATTCCATGGTCAGTCAGATCTCTTTATAGCAACAAATATCTAAGCTATCGTTTGTGACATCGTCCTTACTGGCAGACTGGGTCAGAACTACGTATCCCTCAAAATACACTAAAGAAACTAGGAAGAAAAACAGTAACTAACATTTCAGTACAGGATTATCAGTCCCTGGAGTTACTTGATTTTAAGTGAATCAGTTTTTAATATCCTAAAACAATAGATTCCTAAGAGGCTAAAAGATAACTTAAAAAAAAGAAATAAACTGACACCGTGACCACAGGTCAGCTGTCGCACAGTTATGTTAGACTCATAACAAATCAGATGTAATTCTGTGTATTCCAGATGTGGCGATATTTGACTTCTTACATTACAAATCAACTCCATTTTCCTTTCAGATAAAGGTTTTGCTTTACTTTATTCATTTTTAACAACTTATGTGTTTTTAAAACTATCTATGCTAGGAGAAATACTGTTAATTTAAAACATAAATATCCAGAGGGATCTGAACTTTCCCCTTGCAGTGGAAAACACGAAAAAGTACTTCCCTCCGTCACAAAATAATGCCAGTGATTGATTTAGGCCCTCATGATTGCAGCTGATGCTCCACAGTCAGGGCTCTACGCAGCCATGGCAGCTAACCTGCACGAACCTTACCGCATGAGCAGGGCCTTCACTAAGCTAACAAAAAACATGCTGTAAGTGAAGCCTGTAAGAGAGACAGTGAAGAAAGCACATCTGCAAAATGAGCCATACCTCGCCCCCTGTGAGATCCCTCCTTTGCTCTCCGGTATTGGTTTAGCTCTTTTGCAAAGTCATCATAATCTTCTTTCCCCATGTCTTCATCCTCTTCCCCCTCATATTGACCATACTCCTCATTCTCATAGTCCTCATACATGCCATAATTCTTGCTCTCCATTTTAGAGTAGCTCTTCTTTTGCAAGGGAGCACTGTGAGAGGACGGATACTGCTGGTGGGACTTCAGAAAAGGCAGACAGATTAGTAATGAAGGAATGACCGTTCCAGTTGAATGCAGCTGAAGAACAGCAGGTCCCTGGAATATGCCCCATCTCTCCTGACTAGCCAGTGAAATGCTGAACTGAAGGCCTTTTCCCCAGACCTGTAGAACCCTGCAGGTTGTTGTCTGCTCATTTATTTTATTGGCTCATTTCCTTCCGCTTTTCCTGTCTCTTCATTTGGAAGGGGCTATTTAATTTTGACCAGCAAATAATGAGCCTAATAGCATGATTTAATTGTGGAGAATCATAAGGAACCCAGTAACAAATAGGTGAAAAGTGAAAGGGCTGAATGACCAGAGCCAAAGCTAGACTAGGAGAGCGGCCTCTGGCCCCTAGATGGAGCTAGACAGGCATCTGTGTTCAAAGCTTGCAACACTTCTGACCCAGTGCCAGAGAGCAGCTTCCCCTTCCCTGTATGCTGGCAAGTACTTACAGAAGGGTAGGGAGGGCTGTATTCCCTATATTTTCTGTGTCCCTTTTCACTAGGGCTGAAGTCTGAGTCCTCACTGTAATCAGAGAAGTCTTCACTGGAAGAAGCATGACGCTGCAAGGCAAGGAAAACATGCTGTGCAATTTTATTACAGGCTAGATATAACTCTAACGCTGTCGCCAGGCCTCTGGCCTTTTATATACAACACAAATAAGTCTCGATTTTTTCAGATAACTCAAATTTTGTTTAACAAAAATCTTCACAGTGTTGTCCAAATTTAACATTTACAATACAAAAGACTCCAGGATACTACATGTTCCACTGTAAAATCCATAGAAACTGGAAGCCTGTTATCAGACTATTTAACCAGTCTCTAATAAACACAAGTATGATATGCCTTTTGTGAACCAGAAGTTCTTAGGAATTCAGTAATAAACACTCTTGATTTTGCAAATCTGGTAGTCTGTAATCTCTTTTGAGGCAAATATGCTCACAAAGTAATTTCCCAAATCAAAAAAAAAAAGCTTTCTTCCCACTCCACACTCAGAGAAGGCATGTCATCCCCTGTTTCTGCTCTCGGTTTATACTCATCCTCTGCTGCTAAGTCTCCATTACATTGCATGCTCATGTTGGCTTGTATATGGAACATAATAACTTTTATGAACTATATTAAGGAGGTAAAGACCTCATGCAGATGGCTGAATCTGGAGTATTTCAACTAGTATGTTCTCAAGAAGGTGAGTATATCCTCAGAGAGGAGAGAGTACTGTAATATTTTTACGCTACCTACAAACCTCAGTGCCCCAGTGCCATGCTTTCTAGTCCGAGGGGCAGAAGGGCGTTAAGGAGCTGAACCCCAAGAAGCCCACAGAAAGCCTGCAAGCACTCGCACCTTGCTATTAAGAGTTAGGGGAAGAGCCTCAAATGACCCATAATAATGTCAGACAATGAATTCCCTGAAAACACTTGATGGCAGAGGAAGCATGCTGTGAAGTATCCTGGAAGACCTGTGATTAGGATCCCTGGCCCAGGTAAGAAGACCTGAGAGGCAGAAGCACGAAATGACTCACCTTGTGTTTGGATTTCCTTTTCTTCTTGGCTCTCCTTTTCTCTTTCTCTCTCTCTTTTCTACGTTTGCGCTTCATCCGTCGATGGGCCTTCTCATCATCTGAATCACTATGGTGCTTTTCCCCTTTCTCCTTCCGACCCCTCTCGTGAGATTCAGAGGCCTCCTGGGCCTCCTCTCCTCCATCGTCCTCCAGCTCTCCTTCTTCCAGTTCTCCATCCTCCCTATAAAGTAGACAGGCACATTAACATTTCCCTTGTCAACAAACTGTTTACTATGCTTACCAGCCAGCCAGGCATTTGGCTCTGCTTCCAAGAGGACACAAATTCTGAGTATCTTGGTTTTGAATATCTGACTGCAAGAACTGACTCTATTCCACTGTGCCACTGAATCTATTCCAGTTGTCACTTGGTCTGGAGTCATATAAAGTAGAGAAGAACCTCTGCTTTTCTATTCAAGCTGTCAGCTCAGTCCGGAATTAAATACAGCAAAGAAGCATCTCTCACAAACAACACACACTGAATCCACAAAATTACAGCCTTCAACTTTAGGATAAAATTATCATGAATTCACTCAAAGAACTGAAATTAGTATCTTAATAAAACAATCAGTCCTCCAGAAGACAAAAACTGCAGTAAATTACTGCTGAAAATCCATTTTCCTGTGTCCGTTTCAATTACTGCATGAAATGCATCAAATCAAGAAACACTAGTTCTTTTAAGTATTTAATACACCACTAGTACTGACAGAAATGTTTTAAATGCGTTCTTTCCTTAAAATTACCTGTATTCTTGTTTAATAGGAAATATGTTGGAGATCTCATTTGAAATGAAGACTGTTTTAAGAAAATGTAATCTGTTTTGCAATATCACTTTGGTGAGCCAAATCTAGAAACCTGTGCCCAATTTCTTCCATGTTCTCTACTCCATGCTAGCATTCACATATAATTGTGGTTCGTGGAGGTGATAAAGCAAATCTGAAATTTCTTCAGGGGATTCCCCAGACAGACTCAATTACATTCAATTAAAAATTACTCGGATACAAGTTAAGAAAAACTTTTTACAATCTCATAGTAGATTAAATTTATACTACAGTAAGAGTTCAGTCATCTCCCTGCCTTCTCCCAGATTTCCTATAAGGCTATCCCTTTCCAGCTCTCCCAACAAGTCCTGAGTGGATTGCTTGGATTTGTTGCTGTATGAGTTGTTTAAAACAAAAGTGGAGATGGAAGAACAGATGGAAATTCATCTGAGCTGAGAGAGCTGAGACACATGCTGTAATCTTAAGATTAGTATTTTTCTTGTGTGCCATAGTAGCACTCTGTACCAAAAACCAAGGTTCCAGGACCCTTCCTGAGGCAGAGCCCACCTCCAGCTCCAATTCAGGTTGGCTGCAAGGCTGGATGGGATACGGGCCACTGGAAAGAGCTCCTCCTCACACTGTAAACACCATAGATCACAAAGAACACCAGCTTGTTGACACAGCCTGCTTGCTTTTTGCAGGGATCTTTCCTCATTGTGTCACATAGCAACCAAACTGTGTTTGGTGCTCTACAGGACCCAGGGCTTATGCTAAAGAGCTGTCAGTCTCAAATGTCTCCTGGGGGTCTCCTCCTCTCTTCTCATTTAAGGTAAACTATAATTAAAAATACAAACACGCGCTTGTTTATATATGTCACTGCCTTTCACAAACAGCAATGTAGGAAGGCAGAACATACAGGACAATGATCTTTGACACACATTCCTATGATTTTCTTGGCTATGGAAAGACACTAAGGCAGACTCCCTTGGACACTGTAAAGTTCCCTCTTTAGCACTACAATGGGTGCAGCAGCAAGAGCAGCGCACTGCCTGTCCGGGGTGAAACCAACTGCGCTGTAAGAAGGAGCTTCGGTCACTTGGTAGCTCTCAGGGAGGTCTGGAGACTGAAAAAGATTTTAGGAACAACACATAGGAGCCTCTCGAGAATGCCTGATGGCCCTAGAAATAGCTGTGTTACATAAAAAAGCAGATCTGTTGATAACCTCAGGTTACGCAAAAAAAGAAACTGAACGATTACCCCAAATACACACACATACATACAAGAACCTACCAAAGCTAGCTTTAAAAGTCACCAGGAAGCACTGTTTCATCATCTCCAGCATCTTGGAGAGCAAACACTTGACACTGTGCTTGGTTCCCGACATCCATTCTTATCCTGATTCAAAGTCTTTCTCTTGTTTTGATTTGCAATTGCAACATTTTAAAAACAGGCTAACTCCAAAATCAAGCTCAGTGAAGTACTGCTCCTTAACCTCTTAAACCTGAAATGTAATTCCTGGGTGTATATAAAATTTTTAAAAGTAAGTATCAGTAGAAATGACTTCTGGCTAGCCATCAGAGGAACTCAGCATCCCTCTAGTATCATAATTACTAGTAATTTAGTAAGCTAAAAGTACTTGAAAAAAGGTTTGAGCAACTCACACTCCACACAGAGCTGAGTAGCAGTGAAAACACACACACACGCACAAAGCTTATGAAAAGGAATTTAAATGCCTGCATTATGTCCTTTCAAAGCCTCTCTCCTTTGTCCGTAAGACAAGTATGTCGGCCACTTCAAAATAAATATGTCTCAAACTAGCAATACCACCAGGTTTTTAGACTCATCTCCCAGCAACCTACTACTCAAAGGCTCACTGCAACCACAGTGAACCAAAGCACTGGTGAATCTTACACCTGGCCACAGGACAGGCTCCCAGGAAATGACAAATCAATCCTGGATCAGAAAGGCGCAAGTTTTTGAAGCTAATTTAAAATGGCAGCTTCAAAGCAGAAGGAAATGTTTAAACTTTTTACATCACTCTTCAAAGAAAAGTAACAAAAAAAAATTACTTGAAAAATGTGTACTCAAGACAGGAGAAAGGTGTAGGAAAAACGTGCTTTAAGAAACAGCTGAAGGGACTGGATTTCAGGGGACCTGACACTCTCTATGACTTGACACTTGACACAAATAACGGGAAAACTCACTACAGTTCCCTGGCTGAAGACGCATGAAAAGGAGAAGGGACAAGCCGGAAGGGGGGGGGGGCAGTCTTCAGCTAGGGTAAATCAGCACAGCCCAGGTGCAGCCGAAGACGTTGCCCTGATCTAGACCAGCTGGGGACCTGGTTTAGGATGGTTAGCGTGGCCTCACTCTGTGAGGTAGTACGGGGACAGGACAAGAAAACCCCTACCAGGCCACACTGCGGCAGAAAGAACTGACCGGGAGGTCAGGCTGCAACCTGTAGTACTGATACTCTGCTATGTCAAGCTGCGGAGGAGCTAATATTGTAAAAGCCTACTGTGGCCTGGCAAATTCATTCACAATATATGTCTTGGAATGCACAGTATTCTCTTTGGAAAAAGGGATATTCCCTTTGGCATTGCTCTGTTTAAACCAGCATCATTTACTCTCTTCCCAGAGGTCCCTGCCAACTGGGTATTGCAAGGTTGCTCTTAACTTCCTGTCTTCCCCACTGACTTCAAAGAGGAACAAACGCTCCTGTCAATACTGTGTTGCTAACACCTTAATTGCAGTTTTCAGCAGTGAGAACTGCACATCATTTTTGATAGTACGCACACACACTTTTACCCTATCTTGGGTTACTCTGATCCGACATAAAGTTTATAGGAAACTATAATGCTGGGCCTGTGTCCTAATCTGTTCTTGGTTCGCGATCGTCTTATTAAATTCACTGTGGTTACAGAAGTGAACAAGAGGGCTACCAAGAACAAAGCGTAAAAATCGGTGGCTGCTCTGAAAAACACCAAGAGACAGGATGAAGTCAAACTATAAAAAGGATTGCTGAGATTTTTAACAGACGAATTCTAGTTATTTAATCAATACGCAAGTCATCTAAAGAATAAAAGCAAGACTTTGAGAAATCATTTTTACACAAATCCCTAGATATCAAGCTATATCTTAGGAGGGGCAATACACTCTCCTGTAGCTTAACTCCAGCCCTGCTGGATCTTAGTAGATTTGGGCCAGAAATGATCATACTAACCTCAGAGAGAGACCGTAATGCTTAACTTACTCAGTGCCTGGAAAGTGCTTTGTAAACTTTAGGCAGCAGGTACCATAGCAGGCAGTATTTAACTACTGAGTTTGGCTTTTGTTTTTAAACACAACAAAACAGAAAATAAGGTCATTTGAAATATGGAAACTGAGGAGTGAAGGACATCTGAAAATGACTGATTTCTAACATGTGAATAAAACCCAGAAATAACTACAAAGTGACAAGGTCTTGTCATTTTCAGAGGATAGCTGTTTATAGTCACTGTGGTTACGTAGTAAATAAGTCGTGCTGGTTAAGCGACTAACTATTTGCAGAGAGGAACACGGACTGTGGGAAAACCCTAACTACGCCTGTGCTCATCTCGTACTCTCCTATTCTTCCTGCCCACTTTCTATATTTAGGGTTGTCTCCAGCACAGCACACATCCAAGGCTTAGCAGAAGAACCAACTTCAGCTTTAGGGCTACGTCTGCAACATCCCAGCCACAGCAATGACAGGACACAGCGCCAGGAACTACCGCCGCCCGGAGCAGACGTGACGCCACAAGCTGTCATCCAGTGGTACCCAAATTCACCATCACACGACACACGCCTCAAAAAAAGCCTCTTCCAACCATTACACTGCAGTACAGTCTGACAACCATTACACTGCAGTACAGTCTGACAACTTGCACAGTTTTCCAAACTACAGGGAAAAGGGTAGTGATCAACATGTTTTAACAAATTACAGCATTTATGCTATTGTTCAAAGAAGTATCACTTTATATAGCTAATACTCTTATTAAATTTGGAAATAAGCATACGAAAGCAACGAATGAGAACTATATGTTCTCAGATGGAGTCCATACTTGGGTGTAACTGACAGTTCTAACTAATATACTCTACTAACCTTGATAAAGCTGTTGTTGTTCCTTTCTTACTATACTTAAAGTAAACTGGATCAAAAATAACAGACCCTGAGCTCCCAACCTCAGACAAATACAAGTAGTTTTACTATTATTAGGAAAAGAAAGGGCTTTGTATGACCCCAACAGCTCTATATACTTATGTGCTACAGACACATGTACCTAAGAGCAACTTCTATACAATACTACCACAAAAAATTGTGCACAGTGCTTGTCAGCAGGGAGCAGAGTTGGGATGGTGACTAATATCTGACTTGCCAGTTGGCCACAAAAACCCTTCCTTTGTACAACAGTTATCTGCACAACAGGTGCAGCTAACCATGAAATCTTCTGTATGGTGTGATCTACTTTGGCGGAGTGGATCCACATATGACAAAACCGAGGGTTAATGCACAAAGGGAAACGGCTGCAAGGTAGCTCCCTTAACTTAAAGGAATGCAAAGCATGTGGTGAAAATGCTTCTTTTCAGAGCAATGGAGTGGGAAGGCTTTGAAAATAAACTATAAATGCAAATATTCAGGAAGTCACCGGACTGAAAATCTGCAAGATCTAATCTCATGACAATCAAATGTTAATTTCTAATCATACATGATTTTAAGCAAAACACTTGGCATGAACTAGGTTGTACAGCATGTGTTCATACCTTTAGGATAAACATCTTCTGCCTCAAGTAGAGAACAAGAGAGTTTATAAAGAAGTTGATTTTTTCCACGAACAATCTGATATGTTTGCCAGCACACTCCATGGGGGAGAAAAGAAAATCACATGACAAATTATAATCTAAGATTAGTAAAACCAGGTGAAAGCTGAAAATTAACAAGAAACCAACTGAATGAGCAGTACACTTGAGTGGGGAGTGGAGGGGTTTTTTTGTGAGAACAGATTATTCCGGTTGAAAGCAACTCTCCATTTATGCTATAACCTATTTCAGAACAAGGTTTAAAAACAGATTCCTTCCCAGTTTTGTAGTATGTGCAAAAAGGCAGGGATATTGTGTTGCTTTTTTTATTGTGTTGCTCCTCCTTTAGGGGGAGTGTGGCTCTTTCACACAGATATATTGTCTTCACTTATTCTCTGATTTAAGGCTGTCAGAGGCCCTCCTCACTGGAGCACACAAGGCTAGGATTTTCAAAGTAACCTACACTTCCAGCTAAATGTCATTAATCACACACGTAATGCTTCAAAAACGGCTTAGCATTTGCAGATACCAGAACTGTACTCCCCCACTAACTTCCTTTGCTAAGACAGAACACGTTCTACCAAAGAAAGCATCACACCTGCACGCTCCTAAGCCTCACCTACAGAAAACTGTCCAGAGATAGAGCTCTTCTTTCACCAAAACACTGACACATTCCAGAATAACCCCAAAGGAATTGGAACTAAGCTGAACCTCTTCTTTGCTCCATCAGTGTGGCCATCTCAAATTTTATTTCAAGTGGAAATCAGGGAAAAATACATCCACCAAGAAATAAAAGAACAACCACTTTTAAGATAGCAAGGCCTCCAGAATGAGGCATACTGTGTTATATACAGACTGTTTGGACTGGGGCAGAAATCATTACAATTTATCAGCCTTTTTTAAAGCTATCTTCTACTCAGTGTTCTTTCATTATGGGACATGTATAACAAATATGTTCTATCAATTCACTAGAAAGGAAGCTTTGAGAGACATCCTTCTAGGCCGCTTAAACCTGAAATAACTTCTGACACGGACACTTCTAGTCTGCAATCAAGGCAAATTCTACTTTTATGCCCCTAAAAAGCCCACGTTTTTGAGAGACATTTATACTAAAGGAAAGTTTCAAGCAGCTATTTAATCACAACTCAAGATTTATTTGGGAATGTGCTTGACTCAACTGCTAATTATTAATGCCATTTTTGTTTGGAAGTTGGCTCCTTCCCATTCCTACTTTTGGATCCTTCAGTGAAATCGTAAGGCTGAGCTGTGACGTCCTTTTCACTGCCACTGCAAGGCTGATGTCACAGAAACGGATATGTCAAAGGTACTGAAAAAGACACTTGGTCTGGGGTTTGCTTTAGCCATTCTTTAACTAGCACAACAAAGCCTGGCTACCAAAGGAGCAAGGCAGAGGGCAATACCTGGCTCAGCACAGATGAGAACCCTCACACTGACCTCTCTAGGTCTTCCGATTGCAGCTGAACAATTACAGATTTAAAAAATGCCCCTGAAAAAATTCTGGCATGCGCTTAACTTTACTACCAAAAGATGCTCTGGTCTCCACGGAACTGTTCACAGTACTAATGTTAAATACATGCCTCTATTTTTGCGTGATTAAAAAGGTAATCGCTAGCAAATCTGGAGTACTAAAAATGGTTCTGCCTAACTAAAAAAGGGACAAGAGTAGCAAGATACTAGAAAAAGAAACCCCAACCAAGTTTAGAGATTTGACTCCTCTTGCTAATATTTAACTATATAATAAAAACGTATATTCACTTTATGAAATTGCTTAGCCATTCCTCTAAACTTGGAAGTACAGTCCCTTAGCACTTCTGACATTAGAGCAGTTCCTGGGTCTTTCATACAGTTATACTACACTCCCTCAAAAAGCAGAAAACTAACCTAAAATTTTCCAACAGCCTACTTTTTTTCTATTTCATCTGCCCTTTCCAACTCATCCTGACATGCATAAAAATTGCTTATGACACTAATCAGCAGCTGACAGTGAAAAACCATTTGGGATTTTGATCGTATCAAGAGTGGAAGTATAAAGCACAGCATGTATGTACATTTAGTAAAATAATTTAGAGGTTTAGCAGAATAAAGCTACTAATTGAATGCATTAGGGAAAAATCCATGCTATGAGGCCCCACTCTTTCTGAACTACCAGAGCTAAAAACTTTTTGGCCAGGCCAGTAATATTTTCAAGCTCTGACGGTGGACCTTTGATGAAAGGAAAAAAAAATGTCAAGCTTTATGACTTCATGGCAAAGTTAAGCTGTAGAAGGTGGATCAGTGGATCATAAGGGAGAAAGGTCCCACTATAAACACTTAAAATAGTAACAGAAAGGCATAAAACTAAAAGACATCACTGGATATTGTTTTATGTTTACTGCAGCATGAAAACCCCTTTCTAAAACACAATAAAATTTGTAACAAAAAGTCCTCTACTTATTTTCTATAACGAGTGCTTGCATTATTTCATAGTCAAGGTTTTAAGCAGATGTATACACTTTTTTTTTTTTTAGTGAATGAATTAAAAACAAGAGGGAAACAAAACAGTACAAATTCACACAACTGTGTTTGTGTGCTTACAGGAAACTAACATCGCTTCTTCCACCCGTGAAAATGTAAACTGGATGAAATACTCCAGGGCAAAAGTGTGTGTTTTTGCTCTACATGAAAGAATAACCTAAGAGTCAAAAATAATATGCTGAGGGGAGAAAATACCAAATACTGTGCATGGTGTTCTTACTTATATTTTGAATCATGTAAAGAACCGTGAGGAACAAACTTGTAAGAACTTTTCATAACACACCTGGTTAACAAAGGAATAACAAAAAGAAAAGTAGAAGAAAATCCAGGACACTAAAGAGATTCTTACAAACTGGGTGCTTACACTGTACGTTGCTATTTGTCCTGCTTAAACTTCTCTAATTATCAAATATGAAACTGTACATGGGGATGGGGGAAAAATGTGTGATGACATTTGGGAAACAGTGCTTTCTTTGCCACCTTTTTTTTTTTTTACACACTTCTGAGTTTGTTAACAAAACTTTTTAACAACTTTTCTGTTTTATGGGCAGACCTGCACCCAGGGGTAGCCTGTTTACTGTCAACGTAATGGAATGAGGATGGAGTTTGTAGACAAAGTAATGGATCCACATCCTATGTCTAGATGGCACCAAGGGTCAGAGTGGTATGACTTTTACTGAGGTATCTCAGTGCTACTTCACCAGGAAACGTCACAACAGACATATTTTGGAGTAAATTGTGTGCTTTTGTGACTTTTTTTTTAAACACTCACACTGGCAGGGTGCACAACTCTATATCAGTCAAGTCATTACAAAGGGGGAGAATTCTGCTTGGTTTGTACACACATTGTATTAACTCATTCCTTACATGAAACGTATCCTAAAGATGATCTCAGGACGTTTTTTGGTGCGGGGGAAAGAAACAAAAAGGTATAATTTAATTATTCAATAAAAGAGAATACTTACCAACCCAACCCTGCATCATAGGAAAAACAAAACTCCTTAGAGACAAAGGCATGCTAATGTATAAAAGCAGCTCTCTGTACCGCACACCTGCCCTCCAGGGGAGTGGGAAGGGGGCAAACCTCTCTTTTTTTTCAGACAAACATATATGATTAAGCTGTTTATTTTTGTGCACTACACAATACTTTCTGGCTATAGGGTTTCCAATAAAAAAGTGCTAATAAAGTCTAATAAAGGAAACAGCTGAAGTTATGTTTTGGGGGGAGGGAGAAGGTGCTTTACATACATCTCTGAGGAAAAGAGGAAAGAGGGTTTCCTGGGGGATTTTAAACTTTTCAATACCTTGACATAATGGGACCACTTGAGATTCCAGCTGTGGAAGTGAGTCTTTCTATATAAAGGGGACGAGGGAGGGCAAACAAGGGTATCACTACTCAACACATCCCATACCATGCCAGTGCCTAGAAAGCTCCACATTGCAACCCCAGCGCCTTTCTGCCCAGGCCGCACTCCCTAATGCCCCAGCATAGCCAGGAAATTTTAAGAAGCAGCTGAAGACAAAGGGGACATTAATGAGGCCAGTGCTGCCCAAGAGAATAACGTCATTAAAGACCTCATTAAGGACCCCAGAAAGCCTTCCCCTGACCCTGCCCAGCAAGTGGGGACCCCTCTCCCCATCCCCTCCCAGCCACCCCCAGCCCAGGCTCCCTGCTCCGGCCCTCAGCCCCAACTGGGCCTGCTGCCCACCAGCCCCT